TAGATGAAAAAAATCTATTTCAGACTTTGGGTCTCTTTCCAGCTTCCACCAGTAATACATTAGTGAAATGGGTATCTAAATTTTTCAAAGTAAACAGCATACTTTTGTCTTTAAAGCTAGGCGCTTTAAAGTTCTATTCCATCAGGGTCCAGATGTTTAGGGTATCTAAATATAGCAAAGTTAAATCGCAATCATAACAAACAAGAGTATAAATGATTTTTGAACCAATAATGAATTCAAAACCTTTATATTATCATGATAAGATCGGTATCATCAAACTTATTTCATGGTTGATGAATTGGTTTTTTGCTACGGTTCTTTTGTGTGGGGTAACATTTTTGTCAGTGTTAAACTGTTAAAACACAAACAAGAAATATTCTTCTATAATATTACAACTAGAAATTATTAACTTCTACTCATTAATTTCAAGAAGGAGGAAATTTACACTAAAAAAAGTCATAAACATCTACACAAAAATAATTGTCTTGCTTTTTTTATTTCTGCTAAAGCAAGTTTATTTTACACCCATTTTAATTGCTTAATCTTATAAATATTGCTGATGTATTTCGTTGGAGATTAACTCTTCTCCGTCGTTTTTACCGCTGCCTTTATCTTTCTCTTATAGTTGGGTGCTTCTTCTCGGAGAAAGCGGCGGCGGATTGTCGTGCCCAAATGCGTGTTAAGAGTTCTTGATCATCCATAAGAGGTTGTCTACAGATCATGTGTTTGTAGCTAATACTCCCACGAGAATGGCTCCTCAATCCGGAACCCTGCATCGGCGGCACAGAGCTGCCATGATGAAGAATAATAGCAGAACCCATCGCTTCGATCCATCACATCAGTTGACAGATCGGGGAGATCAAACAATGTATCGTCGTCATTAATGGATGCCGAATTCGATGCTTCTCGTACGTTCTCCGAAGAGCGTGATGAATCCGAAACAGGGAGCTGTGTTGGGGTTGACTCCGTTTCTGCATCTTCAATGCCTCTCTGCCTCTGGAGAGATGTTCCGGCGGCCGCCTTGGCAGCGGCAGCTTGGATGTCCTTAGGAGACGTGCTGACGGGACGAGGAAGTTCTTGTACCAGGTCGGGGAAATTGAGGTAAGCCGAACGGCCTTTGATGGCCAGCGCCGCCACGTCATGCGCTCGAGCTGCCATTTCCGCTGTGGGGTATGTTCCGAGCCATATTCTTGATTTCTTCCTGGGTTCTCGAATTTCTGACACCCATTTGCCCCAACTACGCATCCTTACTCCTCGGAACGTCGGGTGTTTGCCACCGTTGTCTTCATTGCTTCTATGCCTCTTCTTGTTCTCACACCTCCCACTTTCCAAAATTTGACCCTTCTTTGACCCCCTTGAAGAAGCACAATCTTTTGAATTTTTAGTGGTTTGATCGAAACCTAGACACAAGGATGTTGTCGAGGAAGAGGAGGAGGAGGTGGTGGCTGCCGCTGCCATTGCCACCGTCGCCGGAGACTTGATGTGGGCATCAGTTTCTATGTCAATGTGTTTTTCCATCATATCTAGCAAGGGGGGCAGGCAGAGAAGAATAAAGAGTGATGGGTTTATTATATGATTGGGATTCTTTAAAAGAAAAATAGGAGTAAAAAAAAAAGAAGAAATAAAGAAATGATTCTGGCAGGGGACTAAAGTTAGGCTAGTTTGTATACTCCCTTTAATAATAAATGTTTTTTTTTAAATTTTTTTATTTAAATTAAAATTTTAAAAATAATTTTTATTTTTTATAATAGTAAAATAAATAATTAAAA